GCCCCCTCCAAAGGCTCCTGACTTTCTGCAGCCTTTCTACTGCTACTCCTTGGCTTCTTCTTACAGCTGTCTTTCAGCCACACCCCGGAAAGATGTACATCTGGCCTTCTCGGACAAGTGCGAAAATTCGCAGAAGTCCAGCGTGCAAGTTGCGCATCTTAAAGATCCCTTGGTGGTCTAAAATCGATGAGAGCAGGCTTCGGCTGCCGTCCAGGCAAAATTCTAAATTTCTTACCAATTGAGGTTTAATGTGTCCCGCGCACTCCCGTGACCCTATGCAGTTGCGAGAGCCGTAAAACACTAGAAAAACACTCAACAACAACAACAACAAAATTAGCACCACGCGTATAGCCTCCACATGACCGACAATAACATATTACTCTCTCACTGGCTTCTAACATAGAGTCGAAACTGTCTAAGACGACCATCCAAGGCCGAGGAGAAAAGTGACCGTATTAGACAGGTAGCTGTCTCACACAGTGACATAAAGATGTAAAAGATACGCAAATCTGAAAATGGGAACGAGCCAATTAGACAGGTGATTGTCTTATGCAAGTGGCCGTAAGAGCAGGTTCAACTGTATTTTCGCTATTCTTTCACAAGGAGGGTGACCGGAAAAGGCATACGCTTTTACAGTAGAAATAGTTCAAGTAATCATGTTTTTTTCCGAAGGTTACCCATTCCCATTACAATATATATTTTTTGTGATAATGCTTCACACAAACTGATAATCGTTGATAACACTAACAATTAATTGTTCTACGTTGTTCTATATTCTGTCTTCCCCCTCACTGGCACAATTAACAGCATTGTCAGACCCGGCTCGACACATTCACCCCAGTTTAGTTGGGGGGGTTTTTCTAACCGCACACAACAAGATATCATCGACGCGAGAAAAAAAAAACCTCGCACCTTTTTTACGTAAGACGATGAGCTGGAACATTAGACCACAGACACGGGTTAAAGGAGATCTTCGGAGGAGAATTTAAAAAACGAATTTGCCAAGTAGACGCTAATGATTTCAAAATGAGTTTTCGACATTTTTCAGTGTATTTTAGTTTATGTTTAATGGGTTTTGTTTTTCATCTCAAATACATTTAGAATATACACAACAGTTCACAAGTACACATGATGCCAGCCCACCTCCTAAAAAAAGACTTTTATTGAGAGGCGATTTATGTCTTTGTAAAATCCGAAAAATCGGGTATCATTTAGCTACATTATGTCAACTATTTCTATGCATAAAGATAATAAGAGCTTTGCATAATTATTTCTTATAGTCAAATGAAAAATAGTATTTGTATAGCGCAAATCCTCCCTTTTAATAACAACACGCTCTGTGCGCTTTTCAAACTATATTATATAATATTATAATTAGCACCAATGTCTGTACGTAAATCTATTTGGCAACTTGGAAACACATGTGTCACTTTTCCCATAAAACTACGACAACTACAGAGTTGAAAGTTGGCAAGTACCTGAAAAAAAGATAGATGACAGAGCCCGATTTTTTATTTATTCATTTCCTGAATCTAGAAAAATATATTTGACAAAAAGTTCCAGTACTTCTTTGGCCTTTGTGATTATTCCACTGAGAAACGAAACAAATCTGTTCATTACTGCTCTTTAACGTGCGCCTTAGAAACACGATTCAAACAAAAGACGGGGTGGGTAATATTTCGAGACTCACTTACGTGGAGACGTGATCCTGTGTATGCATCCAAAGAGTTGTTTTTAATACAGGGTCCAAAGAGAAAAACTTTTTTATTACTGGGTCAAGATTTTTTTTAAAAATATTTTTGTTTGGTCGCTTGCCTGTAGAAATGCCTTGTAAAGTTTCGTGGGCATACGTAAACTTGTCAATGAGCTAGATCTTTTAACGCTGTCAGAGGAAAGTGAACAAGCTATAGACACTGCCTCTGTGATTTTGAAGACGTCGGCGAGTTCCTTTTACAGTGTAGCAGCCCTTTCGTGGATTATTATTGTCTTAGTGCTTTTTGTGATGGTGTAAGGCGAAACCCGTATTTTGTGATTTTGAAGGGCTGGACAGCAATACACTAAAGCAATGTAGATCAAGAGAGGAGTCAATCAAGGCAGACCTAATCCAAAGCAATATTAGATCTAGAAGACAGGTGTGACTGTGAAAGATTAGACAGCAATGTAGATGTAAAAAGCCTCCGCGGCGTAGACCAATAGGAGCAGTGACACCAAGGCGTCGACCCCGAGCAAAGCCGGGTGCTCGGTTAGTTATGCTATAAATGAAATAAAGCCAAAACAACACCCCCTTCCCCCCCAAAAAAACAACAACAACTAGTAAACTAATAACAAAAATAAATAATATGGCAATAACAAGAAGTCTTTGACTGGAAATCTAGTTAACCGCCGTTTGATAAGGCCGTTAATGCTATACATTAATGCGATCAAAAAGCTTTTGCTGAAATTAGCGTGAAATCAGGACGTATAAAATCTGTTCAGTTTTGTAGTTCAAAGTGACTCAACGTCTCTCAGTGCAGATTGATTGACAAGTCGTAAAGCCATATTGTTATCATATTATGTATGTCCTATTGAATGCTCGTATCTGTTTTTAAAAAGATCAAGCATTCATGCAATGAGGAGTATTTGCTTTTTGTGTTGTTTTTGTTGGGGTGTTTGTTTTTTTATTTGTTGGGGTGCTGTTGTTGCTGTTGTTGCTGTTGTTGCTGTTGTTGCTGTTGTTGCTGTTGTTGCTGTTTTATTGTTGTTGTTGCTTTGTTGTCATTGTTTTTTGTTTGTATGTGGTTTGTTTATGTGGGGGGAGGGGGGAAGGGTTGCTATGGCTTGTGGTTTAAAATAATATTTACGTTGATCAAGCTAAATGCTTTAATCAAGTATGACGTTTACTCTCAACTTTCCAGAATATCAAAAACATTTTAGAATCGAAAAGAGTAGCCTCCTCGGACTGCTGTCTGGGCAAAATTTATAATTAATTTCTCCTCAAAAACTGAAACTACTCTTGTCTGTATAAACAGATCTGCTGAAAACACCTTCAAAACTCGCACACGGCTGCCAGTCAAACAAGGGATGATCTTTCTTTCTGTATGAATAAAACGGTCATGTATATAAAATCTGCTGCGCTATGAAATGAAGCTCTTATAATAGTTACTCCCTGGGCTCTAGCAAGGTTAAGAAAAGAAGAAAAGCTATTGCGTACATGGGAAAAGGATTAATTTGTAGTACTATTATTTTTACTTTCTTTTCGACTCGGGTGAATGGAGGTCAGCTGCTTGTAGATCTTACTTCTTCGGTCTTTCTCCGTTATTTCTTTTCATCATTCATTTTTGCTCTTCTTATGTGTTAAATAACAGTTGTTATATTGATGTTCTTATCTCTACTCAAACAATTAAATTGGCTACTTGATAAATAGAATTTTCAACATCACAAAAGACACTTCGGAGATATGAAGCTGTTGGTTCCCTTAACAAGCCACTTGACAGGGTAGCACATATTTGTGGCTGAAGGAGAGAATAATTCCGGCTCCGTTCGGATTTTTCTTCTTCAATGCATGTGATTATGCATCCACCGATACAATTCAGATTATAAGGGAGACGGGCTTCGACACCTTCCTGCCCAGGTTAACCCAGACTAAGAAGGGATTCGGATTCGAAGCTTTTTCTCGTTTTTGCCGTTAGGATCAAGGCTGAAACCGTAATCCAGGAATATTTAAAATTCCCCTCATTTAAATCCTAACTGACAACATTATTCCATAATAAAGTCTGGGGGTTTTGGGGGCTTCTTGTAACGCAAGTTTTCCGTCGCGTGCCGTTGTCTGCCGATCTTAAGTTAGTCCTCAGCGCATTTCTCAATGAAAGGCTTGCTTCTATTCAGAGCAAAATTTTCAATCTCTGGTTTCGTTTTCTACACCTGAGCGACAAGGCACTTGTAAAACCACTTCTGATTTCTCGGCTTCTCCATTAAATGGGTTCTCCGTACGGGTCTTTGAAATCATTATTTGTACAAACTTCTTAATCTTTTCTAGCATTGATGCGTGGGGAGTGGGCATACTTCAACGTATCCTGTAATGACAAGGGGATTTGCTTGGTTTATTTAGTTCAATGCTGCAATAAATGTGAAAGGGGCTGGGTTGTTTCGATGCCGGAGTTGTAGATCCCGTGTCAGAGCATCAAAGTGTCAGGAAACTATGACGGAGGGCGGGGAGAAACTCTCACTCCGTGATAGATAAAAGCGTTTTTCATTAGTCAAGTTCTATTACGACCATCTGTTCAACAGCTTCTGGTCTTGTCAGCAGACACGTCAAAGGGGCCTTCATCTCAAGTGGCTCAGAATATTTTAATAGGATATCCCGCTTTTTAAAAATCCAACAGCTTTCACGATACAAGAAATCTGAAACATAACATTACAGGCCTCGCTCCGACTGAATTTTTTGTTTATTACAACATGTTATGTCATTAAACGAAAATTGTTACCGTATAGGCCTCATGATCCTGCTTCCCAGTGGCGAACGATCACCCTGGTTGTTGGTTTGTTGTTTTTGTTTTTCTTTGGAAAAAATTCACATTTCCAAACGTACTCTTATGTGTTCACGTATTTAACTCTATAACATGGGGCTTTCCGGTTATGTTGAAATATCTACTTCATCGAAATACAATATGTTATCGGTAGATTTATTTTATTCATTATGGCGAATGAAAAGCATTCCATAAATTTTAGCTGGTCTGCTTTGGCACAATTTATCTTAATCATTTTAAAAGGACGCATAATTTCACAAGGCTTTTTAGTTATACGGAGCACCCCAAATTTTAGTTTGTCAATCCTCAATGTCATTGCATTGATTATTTTAGATTTTTCCGTACCTATAGTCAAGCTACTCTTTTGGCACTTTACGGGACTATCAAAAATACTCTTACGTTTCAGTTGACACCTTGAATCTAATTGAAACTGTACTCTCTTTTATCTTAGTTTTCATTTTAACAAAGTGTGTTGTCTTTCGTTCCAGTCTCTGACGAGTCTCGAGATTGCCTGTCAAAATTTTCAACTCCATTCAAAGGCAGGAAAGAGGGGACCCAGAGCACAGTTTCCACAGTTTCATTCAAAAGACGGTACGAACATAAGTGCTCGTTTTTATTCTCTGTTGAACAGCGACAGCCAGTACCTCAAACATGAGATCTTCAGTTTCTCAAAATAACGAGTCGTCAACTGCCCAAGTATATTTTCTAACTGACAAAATATATCTCCAAAATAATGAGTCTCATACTGATGAAATATCTTTTGATTATGATAATTCGTCAAATGATGGAGTATACCATGAAAGTTCCCCGGTGTCTCGCGGTGAAAACGTCGTACCTCATCCTATTTGTTCTATTAATTCTCCGAACCTACACTCAAATTCTATTCAGGAGAGACACGATTCGTCACAAAAGTCAATGATTGACAGCAAGGAAAAAGATCATTCGCCGGATTCTTTCTCTACTTCTGAACCTCGAAACTCAAATACTGGAAATGCTGAGGCCATCAATGACATCCTGAAGGAGTTCAATGGAAATGAGAACAAAGAGCCTGACAATTTGAAATCGCTGATTGTTTTAGATGTAGACACTCTCCATAGTACAGTGAATTTAAATTCGTTCTATTTCAATGACAGAAAAGAAAGCACAAGGAGAAAAAGTCTCCCTGATATCAGTGACCTTGAAGTATACAACACACCCAGAAATAACTTGGGACATATCTATAAAAAGCGCAAGAGTGACAAGTCACGTCGTGGTTCCATTTTCAAGAATCGGTCCCAGGATCAAAAAGACGTAAGTTCTTTTTCCAGTACGCCACGCCAAGCCTTGGCCCCACAGAAGGAATCCTTCTATTCGAAGTATACGTCTTGCCGCTGGCGACTGGCGTACATGTGCTTTCTAGCTCGATTCATTCAGACAGCACTCCGGCAGTTGATGGGGGTGGCAGTGCTAGGGATGACATTTCCCCATGAAATCCCAAGCAGGAACGCGACGAGCAACTTCACCTCATATCAGACAGTTCCGAAAACGGTGAGTTGATCCAGTTTTTTTAAGTCACTTCAGTTTAAAAATATCAATTACTCAAGTAATGGGATGGCTTGATGAACCAATTTGTCTCCCTTTCTCACGCTGTGCAGTTTAAACACTCTTCAGATAGTCGGATTGTACTGATCATGTTCCTTTCGAGCTGGTCGGGAAGTCCGATCAAAATTATTAGTGCACAGTAAGATGGACGTGGCCTCGTTTGCAATGGATGAAGATAATACGTGTCCCCACACACATACACACGCGCACGCACACACACACACACACACACACACACACACACACACACACACACACACATACACTACATGTCTACACACACACACACACACACACACACACACACACACACACACACACACACACACACACACACACACACACA